ACATAACCTCACATTGTATGTTATGTTTAAGTGTTCTGAACACGTGTTTTCAGTCCATGAGCAGTAAGTGCAAGAGAATTGCTCTTTCAGGTATCAGTGTTACACTGACCATGCCAACAAGGACCGAGCCCAACACCAGAGGCACAAAGTGTCAAAAAAACCCCCAAACCCTAAAAAAAACCCCAAACCAAACAAAACCAAAAAACAACCCCAGAAACCCAAGCATACATCAAAAACCCACACAGGGAATTCTTTTTGGCAACTAGAAGACATGGCAAGTAGGTGCAGTGACGCAGTGAACACAGCTGAAATGAACAAAACAAGTGACAGCAAGTTCATAAAAAGGAAAACACACCTCCACTTTAATTTGAAGTGTCAGACAAATATGCATTCATTTGCTCTCAAAGGCATGCCAATCATCAAGCAAACAGATAGGCAAGGAATTTCCTTTGTCTTACTTATTTCCAACTGGTCAAAAATGTCTATTATGCCAAGTGGAAATTTCAAGAAAAGTCAAGCCTTTTTGGACCACTCAGCTGACTGATTTTTGTCTACATGTTAGATAAGATTTCCTCCTCACTCACCACCACCACCACCCCGCAAACAGACTTATACGTTCTTTTTATCTAATAAATACTCAGGTTTTTCAATGACTCATTCCCCCAGCACCCTTTTGATCTTCACAGCTTCTCCTTTGAGAAAGTTCTCCCTCAAAACAACAAGCATAATTAAAAAAGCTGCTTTTTTTTTTTTTAAATATGCTCCAACTTTACACTTTCAGAAGTTTCTCTCTAAAGATACCACAAAGCTAGTCACAACATGCATCCGTTACTGGAAAGGGAGAAAACCGCTGCCAGCTTCAGCCTCCTGGACTACACAGCCATCACTCTTCAAATGCTAGGAATCTCCCTTTGCCATAAAACGTTCAAAGCCACCCACACAGCTTCAGGAGGAACTTCTCCCAGGGACAAGGAGCTCAATAGATGCATTCTCAGCAGCTGTACCCTAGCACACAGGTATATCCAACCTGTTGTCCATCTGTATCTTAAATCTGTAGGGTAATGTGGGAATCACAGAATGGTTTGAGTTGGAAGGACGGTAAAGGTCATGTAGTTCCAACCCCCCCTGCCATGGGCAGGGACACCCTCCACTACACCAGGTTGCCCAAAGCCCCATCCAGCCTGGCCTTGAACACTTCCAGGGGGTTCAAGAATGTTTGAGTTCATTCGGAATTAAAAAAAAAAAAGGGGGGAAAAAAAAAGCAAAAAAAAGCAAAGTCATGTGGAGGAATAGTTTCTCGTGCTCGTGGGGCTGCACTCAGAGGGGGATTGCTAACCTCCTCAGCAAGCCAAGCACTGGAGTCCAGGAAAACAACAAGTAGTCAAGAAACCTGGGTTCACAAGCCAGCTAACCCTGGAAAGAGCTGAATCGACCGCCCCAGGAAGTGCTGCAGGAGTTTGGGGCGCTTAGTGTTCCACAGGAGAACAAAAGCACAACCCCAACACCGCACAAGCCTGTGGTGTCAGGTTAATAAACGAACCGACTGTTGCAAGTCTGAACAGATCCAACTTGGCTGGGCGCTGCTATCCTTTGATTAACGTGAGGCAGAGGCTTGTATACACCTCAAGAAATCCATATGGCATGCAGGCATAATTAAAGTAATACACCTTCCTCTTTGTCTAAACAATACCGGGTTTCCTACCATGTAAGTTAAGAAAAAAAGATGAAATACAGAGAGCACAGTGACACTCCTTTGTGGAGCCATCAGCTATGTTGCGTGAATCCAAGACTAGAGGCTAAGAGAGGAGGCTAAGCACGCTAGATAGAAAAGGTCCCAGTCGGAGCCTACAAACCAAGAAGCAGCTAAGGTACGTGATGCAGCCATGCTTCCCCCAGGCGAGCATGAACTTTACCTTGTGAACCTGTCCCTACCTACCATGGAGGACTAGGCTTTATAGCAATCAATAGGAAATTCTTCCATAGAGCAGAGCTTCAATCATATCAAATTCTGCAGAAAGCTCTGGAAATTGAAGAATTGTTATCTTCCAGGCTGCGACAAAAGAGTAAGATTCTGCAGACAGCTTTTGTGGCTTTTATTAGTTCCTTTAGGGTAAATTTTCCATGCTGCATAGGGTACTTAGTCATGCAGTTTCTTTTAACATCAGTGGGAACTGTGCAGTGGGTGGAAGACACAGCCATTTACCTTAACCTATTTTGCCTTTAAATTGCTTGCCAGGTACCTAGCGCTGCAACACGAGGCACCCTTGCTGGTGAAGGTAGTGAAAACGGAGCACCCTTCCCCGCTTCTTCCTCCGCATTCCCGCTAGCTCTTGCAGCCCACCCCAGGATCTGCCCTGCCCCACGATCCGACAGAACCCGTAATCTCACTCCTCACATCAGTTATTTCAGGTGGGTCCCATCATGCTTCAAAAGCATACCTAATATCAGCAGAGTTAAGAGGAGACATGGAGGCGACAGACTGCTTCATGCAAAACACGCGGTGAAGAGGTAGGAAGAAGAGGAAAAAAATCATTGGTCAGAGCCCACGCAGACAGTGGGATTGTTCATGTTCAGGCAGCTCGCTCCGTCTCTGCTCTTTAAAGGTCTGCGTGAGAACAAACACGTGAGCGGTGACTGGGGAAGGGAGCTGTACGTGTTTTCCTGCCCGCTTCCCAGCTACGTTTGTTTTACTGAGAGATTCCAAGAGCTGAAGATAATTTTTTTCTTATTGTTTGTTTTAAATTAAGTATGCTATGCACACAGGCCTTTCTCTGCTTGTGTCATTTGTGGATGTTTCCATCCTAGTTTATAAAAAAAAACCAACCCAAACAAACCACTCACTTGCAAAGTTTTAGATGCTTGACTTAAGGGGTTTTTTGAGAGTTTTTGATGTTGGTTTGTTTGGGGGGGGTATCGTTTGGTTTTGGGTTGTTTTTTGTTTGTTTTTTTTTTTAAATAGTAGATATGCTCACATAACTGCAATGGTTACTAAAGTCAGCTGGTCCCAAACACTGCAGGGATCTAGCTCCCAGGAGCAAAATTAGTGCTTGGAAAGTGCTGTCAATGATGACTCCCAACAGGCCAGCCTGAAGTGCACACTGAGCTTCTGATGCTGCATGTCATTTTGCTGCAAATAAGACTCAAAAACCCACTGCAATGGACTCGGGGACAGAGTTCACCAAAAGGCTTTCTTGATCAAATAGGTAACAAAGCCATCAGATTAATTTTTAATCACTGCTGGCATATCCAGTATTTGTCTCTGTCCAAAGTCTCTGCACTTGGGGTATTGAGAATGCCACATTTGTCTACAGGGTTTTTGGGTGTTTGGGGTGTTTTTTCTGGGGGTAGGGGGGAAAGGCTGGTTGTTTTAGTTTTCCACTTTAAGAAATGCCAGAAGTTTTTAAGAGGCTTACATAGGTCACAGATTTGGACTACTAAAAATTAGGAATAGAAATTCATTCCAAGCGTAGACACAATCAGCATCTGCACTTCAATCATATGTCTTCGCTTCAGTGTTTATGAACACACTTCAGTTAGCTACTAAAAGAAGTCTTTCTGAAACAGATCGTATTTCCATCCTTTTCCAACCTGCCCTGAAACTTTAACTCCTCAAAACCTGTTTCAGGTGTGAGGTTTGTAATGCCCTCTGCAGGAGCGGCAGAAACCAAAGCTACGGTCAAACATCCAATTTAATGCATCATAAATCCACATTACCATAACAGGGATGGTCTTGTTCCTTCCCCTGTGCCACCACAATTAGATCAATTAGAGAATTGATCAAGGTGAAAACCAGCTTTGGTGGTTGGGATTAAAGAGTCAAGAAACAAGGGCCCTACATGGAAATCTTGATCAGGAGAGGTGGGAAACAGGGAGAAGGGACACACAAAACAACAAAGCCTCTTCTCATTTCTAATAACAGGAGAGCATTTGCAGCTCATATTTAAAAAAAAAAAAAAAAAAAAAAGGGGTTGGTTTAACAACAACGCCTA